CAACATAGTAAATAATACTCCCTCCAATCATAAGTATAAAAGAAGATTTTATCTAGGGGTGACAAAACGGGTCGAGTCCCAGATCGACCCATTTGACTCGCCATTTTTGGCGGGCTGGGTTGAGGTTTTCGGCTCAGTACTTAAAGTTGGCCCGCCCCTCCTAACCTGTTTGAAAAAGCAGGCCGAGGCGGGGAGGAACGGGTTTTCTCCACGGGCTTTTTGTTAAGACTTTTAATTTTTTTACTTAGAATTAAAACAACTTTAAGTATAAAAACAACACTCTTCTCTTAGATTTATGTTGATTAAATTATATTATAAATTATTATACAAATAAAATAAATTATAATTGTAATGTTCTTTCTATAATTTTCTAATACATGTGTTGATTGAAAAACTTAAAGTAAAAGAACAATTGTATGTCATGCTTAATTATTAAGTTGTCAAATATTAGCTCACATATTTTCTTTAGAAATAGATGTTAATTTTAAGAAAATGAAGGATTTGATTTGTGTATAAGTGTGAAAATTTAGGATTTAACTATTAAAGAATCAGTCAATATAAGAGTTTATATGATGTAAACAGTGAGAAAGTCGGATGTTGATATTTTATGCACTACTATTTTATACACCGTGATGTTTTATGCAATGTAATTGATATCATTGTTTGTCTTTTGTAAATTCTTAATTGAGTTCTTTTAGTAGTTAGTTTTTAAATAGGATTAGGATGATATGGATTGTTTATTTATTTTGATACATTTTTTATTATGCTTGATTTTATTTTGTTATTTTTTTGTTGTAATTGGTCTTTATTTATTTTATTTTTGGAATTGTTTGGACTTAAGATATATTGAAGTTCTATTATGCATTTTTCAAAAAAATCTTTTGTCGACCTTTTTGGTAATAAATAATTTTTTTGTAAATTATGTAGTAAATCAAATTGTAAAATAAAAAATTAGCGGATCAGTCCGTCAACCCGCCAACTCGTTAGTAAATGGGACGGACTTAGCTTTTGAGCTCAAACGCCTAAGTTGGTCCATCATGCTTTTAGACGAGTTTAAACGAGACATATCTAAACGGAACAGACTGGTCATTTTACCATCCATAATTTTATCAACAAAATGATGCATTTAGTCAAATATATAAATTTATGTTGAAGAAACTTTTTCTTATAACTATAATAAAAAATAAGAATAACTCATTAAGATAAATGTATTCACCAATTAAAATATCTAAAGTTTACAAAATAATAAATGAAATATCACACAACAATTATCTTCAGAATTACCTAACCCTAAAAATGGAAAATAAATTCTAATCTATCCGTCCTAAAAAAATGTGCATACTCCTTATGTAACACCCCAATTTTTAGTAATCATTTATTTAATTAAATTAATTGATTAAGTGTGTAATTTTGTGCCTAATTGAATTAACTAATTTATTTGATTTAAATGAATTATTTAATTTATTTAATTTATATGAGTTAATTGATTTAAATATATGATTTATTGAATTAATTAAATTAATTGATTTATTTTATTTGGTAGAATAATGTAGAATTTCTAGATTAATTAGTTGGGCCTAATTATAAGTGTGTGAATAGAAAGTGAGGGTGGGTTGAGTAAAGCCCAATAGAAATGATTAAATTGTTAGGGTTTAACAAAAAGGAATGAGAAAGAGAATAGAAAGATAGAAAGTTGGTAAAGAGAAAGAAAGAAGGCTAGAGGGAAAGAATGGTGGAGAAGAAGAACCAAGAGAGGAAGCTCAAAAAATCATCTAAACTAAGGTAAGGGTGAGTTTTTATATGATTATTGGGATTGTATGATAGTGTATGATGGGTAAGATCATATTTAGGATAAAAATCTCTAATTTTCATGGTTTTGAAATTTATGATTACATGATATATGATGATAGGATCCTTAATATGTATTGTGGGCTGTTATATTTGTCATATAATAGTGGAATTTCGAATTTTGAAACTGGGGCTTTTTACAGAATTGAAATCGGAGGTCCGGAAGGCCTCCAACGGTGGAAAACGCAGAAAATTCTGCATTCTGCACTGTTTGCATCGATGCATACGTCGCAGCGTCGACGCATACTGAATGCGTTTTTTCTGGATTTTGTTTCGGTCTTTCATGCGTCGACCGAACCGTCGCTAGCGGTCGACGCAAGACTGCATATTGGTAAAATTGTTGTTCTGACGATTTTGGCCATAACTTTTGATCCGTAAGTTGGTTTTGGTCCCCGTTTGAAGCGTTGGAAAGATAATGAATATATCTATAACATAGTATAGGTTATATAATTATTTTCCAAATATTTTTATATCTAATATGTTTGGGAAGTCAATTGTGTATATGCTCTATTATTGAACTGTTGTACTGTTGCTGCTGGTTGTGAAATTATTGTGGATAATTTATCGAATACTTATGTGTATGCTTGTATAAGTATATTTTGTGTGTGACAACATGAAATTTATGATAGTTATTTCTTTTTGTAATGATAATACAATTGTGATTGTATTGTAAAATGTGTTGTATACCATTGAAAATGAATTGTGTGTGAATGATTGATAAAAATGTGCAAGTATGTGTGATTGTGTGATAATTCAAGTGTGATGAATTATTGAAGATATGCATAAATTTTAAGATTAGGGAATGATCTTAATTGCATATGGTTGTGGACTTGCACATGCATCATTTATGTCAAGAGGCAATGCTTGTTAGTTCCGTGAGAGCTAGTGATTTGTCCCAAACCTAGAGTGGGGTTTGAAAGCTTAGGGAATGGGCTTTTTGTGTGTTATTGGTCTAGAACGGACCCGGTTTTAATGTAAAAACCGAAAAATAATAACAAGTGTTGGTACCACATGACATGAGTTGCATTGAATCTTGCATTGAGTTTTGCATTGAGTCTCATTATGTATATGTTTGTGCTATGAGATTATGTGTATCTATGTGAATTGTTGAAATTGGTGAAATTGTGGATTGTGTGTATATACTTGTGAATGGTATGGTTACTTGAGTGATATTTTGATGATGAAACTTTTTAAGTGTGAGAATAATTGTGATTATACTTGTTTACCTTAAATTATATATTATCTTATAATTTCGATAATTATGTGAATTCTCACCCTTCTGTTGGAATGATGTTTTATACGACATCGCTCAGGTACCGAGGAGTAGAGTTGCTTCTAGCGCAAGGTAGCTATTGGAGTAGCTTGCTTAGTGTATTTATTTATGTTGGGTCGAGTCGTCCTCTGATCATGTAACATTGGGATCGTTTCGATTTATGTTTGAGAGATACATTATGTATTATTCTATATGTCATTTTGTTTATTTGAATTATGTGGAATATTGGCTTTTATGCTTAAGTATTGATTATGAATGAGATGGGTATGAGACTTTTATTATGTCAAGTATGATTAAATTAAATCCGCTGCTACATGCTAAGGTGAAAGTTTATGAAAAATATGAATTTATTTTAAGTGTTAATGAACATGATAGGTATTTGTGTGATGTTTTGAAATTATATGTGACACCATTTTGTGAGATACATGATAATTACTCTGATTATTTATATATATTCCGTGGGATTAAGAAGGGTGTTACACCTTACAACTACACAAACATAGTAAAAACCTATAAAGCACGAACATTCGGAATTTGACTCTGACATTAACACAACGACATTAATAATAATTTAAAAATAAATTAAACGTAATCACAAATATCAAAACAAGTGTTTGATACTAACACAGACAAGCAAACACTTTTTTTTAAAAGTGTCGCTCCTTCATAGCTAAAATCATTTCTAAAATTTGTAACATCCAAGTTAGTTATTTGTATATAATATATTATAGGCGATATATATATATATATATATATATATATATATATATATATATATATATATATATATATATATATATATATATATATATATATATATATATATATATATATATATATATATATATATATATATATATATATATATATATATATATATATATATATATATATATATATATATATATATATATATATATATATATATATATATATAAAGCGGCAGTCACTTTCTCCATTGTCTCCCATGTCAAATTGCCCACTACCTCTATTTATTCTACTTGCATTATTTATTCATATGGTTATTACTTTATCAACAAATAAATAAAAATACAAAAACATTCAAAGACTTGACATAAAGATGAAAAAAATCACATAACATTAAAACCCCTCATGAAAAGAAAAACAGATCTCATTCACTCACTCTTCCCCATAATAATTTAATTATTTATTTTGTTAAGTTAAGGTAAATATAATATAATATATTCTTACTAATGTGGTTTCTGCCTCAAAATCCACCACAAGAGCTCAATGAATGAGATTTGGTAACCTACTTTTTCATTCTTACAAATTCTTTCACTTTATTATTATCTACTCCATCATTGAAAAAAATGGTTCATGTCTCTTCTCAACTCATTGTCTTAGAAACTCATCTTCTTCAACTGTAAGAAATTATTTATGTGATTTATATTTTATATATTACTTTGTTTGTTAGGTGTATATAGCATATATATGTAATTTGTAAACTATATGTTAATTTAATATTATACAAAACAACAAAGTCTTGATTAATGAATTCAACAATTTGCTTTAGATTGAGGGGACCTTAGTGTTTGTGGTCTTTGATTTTTAAAAGGATATCTTCTAATATTCTTTTGCTTTTTTAATTATTTAATTTTTTTTTTTGATGTTTTTGATGGATTCAATATATAGTTTTGTGAACTTGGAATTTATTCTAAATGTTTTTTCTGACACCCTTTATCCTATATTTGATTCTTATAAGTCAAAGTTTTAATTTTGTTGTGATAAATATAAAGGGGTTATAAGATTCTGATTCTTGTGTTAGTGAGTACTTTGTTTTAGGTTTGGCATATTGAAAAGGGTTTTAAAGGATTTAAAGAACACAGTTTTGTTTTGGAGTCATTATTAGTTTGTTTTTATGGATTGGGATTGGAAGGAGTTTGCTTGGGATCCATCTGGGTTGGAGGAGATGAAGAATGAAGGAGATTCAATGGATTTGAGGCTTGGTGAGGCTTCTGATTCGTTGGAAAAATCGGTTCGGGATGATGGGAGAAAGGGTGATGATTCGAAAGGTGTGTCGTCGTTTTCTGGATCGTCGAAGAGATCGCGGTTGCAGAATGGATTGATGAATATGATTTGCTCGGTTGATGGATGTAAGGAGGATCTTAGTGATTGTAGAGAGTATCATAAGCGGCATAGGGTTTGCGAGAAGCACTCGAAAACTCCTGTTGTGTTGGTTGGAGGTAAGCAGCAGAGATTCTGCCAACAATGTAGCAGGTATATTAATTGAAGTTGCTTGTTTCAGATTCTTAGTTTGTTCGATTTCGTTGTAGTAGATATGCAAATTAGTCCTTAAAATTGTAAGCATCGGTCCATTCTGATGCTAAAAAATGACCGATAGTCACAATTTCGATGATTGATTTTATACCTATTCAGGTTATAAGGCATTATTCATATTATTCTTCTGATGCGTTATGGACGTGTCATTTTGATGTAGGTTTCATTCGCTTGCGGAGTTTGATGAGGTTAAGAGGAGTTGCAGGAAACGGCTTGATGGGCATAATAGGCGGAGAAGGAAACCTCAACCACCTTCTCTTTTCATGGCTGCTGAGAAATTTATGTACAATTACAAAGGTTTGTGTTTGCGGCATCCCGTGATTATAAGATAGATGACTTTTTTCTGTTAATGTTTAACTCGTTCTCGATTTTACGATTGTGAAAACTGAGATGAAAAACGGAAATAGGTAGAATATCCTAATGATTAATGCATTAATATGAAACATAACCATCAATGAAGCACGGACACGACACTGACACTGACATGCTGAGACCGGTAATAATGTGAAACAAATGAATAAATTGAACGTAATCACGAGTGTCAGTGTTGTGTCGGTGTATAGACATATTTTTTTCCAGAGGTGTCGGTGTTATAGAGGTAACAATCCATCAAGGTCCGAAATTAGAATTTAGAGCTTATGATTAATGTCAATGATTACCGTTAAAATTTCCGTTTCTTGTCATTAGTTTTTCTCTTCAGTACACTTAATATGAAATTTTACATTGACTTGTCTTAGGTCCTAGAATCCTGCACTTTGGAAGCCCTCAGGCATATGTGAATCCTGTTATGAGAAACATTTGGCCTGCCGCCGCATTAACCGAAGCTGAGCCAGGTTATGACCATCACCGACTTTTGTATCGAATCGACAAATATAAACAGGATAAAGGACATCCTCTTTGGCAAGAAACTGTCCCTAAAGCCGGCGATGTTAACCAAGCAGCGCCAGGAGTTTCTATCAGCCAGCCTATCCGCGGTGGGGTTGGTTCGTCCACAGGTGGAAAAGGCGGTAGGAAGCTCTCTTCTGATAGCAAACCTGGATCTTTTGACTCGGGTTGTGCTCTCTATCTTCTGTCAACACTTCAATCACAAAGTTCCGAGTTGAGTTTGATGCAGTCCAGCATCAACGACAGTCCAACACAGTCTTCATCCGGAACGCTGCGTTTTGATGCCACGAACGAGTACTTGTGCTCGGGAAAGGTTAAAGATAAGCCTAATAATGGTCAAGTATTTGTTCTTGATGCAAACACAACAAACCTTCAATGTAATGGGATGCTGCAAATGGGACCTAATAATGGTTCGACGGAAAATGAAAACTCGCTGACACTTCCATTTTTCTGGGAGTAGTCTTTCGACGATTCTGTTCCTTCGTCTGTTGTTTCTCCCGACTCTCCAACATTGGGTTGTTTGGTATTTGAGTGGTGTTAACTGTTAAGGTCTTTTTTGGTGGTTCTGATCATCCATCCGTGTATGTTGTTGCTCCCGTCGCGCCTTCTGACTCGAAGATTGAGTTGTTGGGTCTTTTTGGGAAATTTATGGAATTGTTGGTCTTCAAAACATTGTGTGTACTCTAATAGTTAAACTTAAACTAGTTGAATCTTTATGGCAAGTGTACTTTGTTCCCATCAATTCAAATGTTGTAGCACAATTTGTTGTATGCAGTTTGAATACCGATAATTCAGATTGAAAGCGTGCCCAACACGACACTGATGCATGTAGTCAAATATTGACGTCTCAGTGTCGTGTTGTGTTGTGTCTGATATATATTTGTGTGTATCTGTGTTTATTGTGTCAGTGCTTTTTAACATATACTTTTCTCCCATCAATTCAAATGTTGTAGCACAAATTATTTTTTCTCAAGAGGATGAATGTTTTTTGTTTTATTAATTTTTAAAAATAATTTTTTTGTTTAATTAAGAAGACTAGGATTAAATAATTATGATAGATAATCCTATTCAAGTGGTTAATCTTGTCATTTAGCCACTAAGAACTTTGAGTCATAGAAGAGATTATTTTCAGTTATATAAATGTTAAGAACTTGATTTCTATATACTATTTAGTGTTTGACTTGAATAGGATTATCACTATATTAAAACACAATCAAAAGATTTTTTGTCGGAGACAATACTAATTGAGTTTTAAGCATTCCACTCTAGTAGTGTAAATTATTGTCTAAAACATAAATTATCAATGTTTACTATTTTGTCATGAAAACTTCCTCTTGAAACTTCCTTTTGAAAATTCTGTAGGCCAAAACAAAAGACAGCCTTTCATACTGGCATTGTTGGAAGATTAATGACCACTTGAATAATTTTTACTTTTTAACTTTCATGAAAGAACATAGAAACCAGAAGTAGGAGGGAACTTTTTGGGGATGTAAGGTGGCAATAGTATCCACTTTAAGAAACCAATAGAACATAATTGTGAATATTGTGATAGGTCATTGATGTGAGACCAAGAAAAGTATATATGGGACACTCAATCAATCATATCACCTTATTTTATTTCAAATAATATGAATTTAAGCATTTTTTAAAAGGAGAGTTTTTGATAAATATGAAAATTGTATAACTTCAACATCGATATTTGAGGAGTAAGCTTTTAACGAACAAACAATTCAAGTTCAATCAGATGAACAACCTCACGAGATTCAAAAAGTCACCATTGGAGAATTTGATATTAATTATTTATAACATGACCCCGAAAAATGTCTTTAAATTTGAGAATATTCAATAAATTAAAGAGAAGAAGTTCGAAGAACTTATCTTAACTGGGGTACATATCAATGCCAAGTTGAAAAAATATCCCCTTAATAGAGAAAAAAATCCAAGATGATTTCAAGCATATTGGTTTAAAATGTTCCCTTCATGGCTAGAATGTTCTCCAACTAATGATGCTGCTTATTGTTTACTTTATTGCTTGTTCAGTAAAAAAAACCTAGTGGACATCCTAGAGTTGATGTGTTTACTAGAAAATGATTTAAAACATGGAGAAAGATCAATGCCAGAAAGAAATTTGCTTTTCTTAATCATATTGGAAGAAGTCCTTGTTTACCTTGCAATAATGCTTTGAAATCTTCTCAAGACTTGTTCAGTCAATTAATTCACATAAAAATATTCTTAATATACAATGTGTTGATCAAGTCATCCAAAATAGACTTCGTCTCAAGAGCTCTATTGATTCCACTTGTCGGCTCGCATTTCAAGCTTGTTCCTTTAGAGGCCATGACAAGACACTTGGATCAAAAAATAGAGGTAACTTTCTTGAAATTGTAAAACTCTTAACGTCATACAATGATGAACTTGTAAAAGTAGTACTAGAGAATGCTTCATATAATCCAAAGTATACCTCTCATTTAATTTAAAGGAAAATTTTGCATATCATTTTTAGTAAAGTGAAAATGTATATCCGAGAAGAGATTGACGATTCTAAATTTTTCATAATTGCTGATGAATCGCATGATGAAGTTTTTTTTGAAGGAACAAATGGCTATTATCTTGAGGTTTGTGGATAAAAACAGGTGTATTAAAGAATTATTTTTGAGCTTGTGCGTGTTAACGACACTATGACTATCACTCTTAAATATACAATTTGTGATGTTCTTTCTCGACATGGTCTAAATCTTTTAGATATTCGTGAACAGGGGTATGATGGTGCTAGTAATATGAGAGGGAGGTGGAATGCATTGCAAGCATTATTTATCAAGGATTGTTCTTATGTTTATTACTTACATTGTTTTGCACATAGATTACAACTTGCTTCGGTTGTTGCATCAAGAGAAGTTTTTATTCTTCATGATCTCTTTTCACACTTGACTCATATTGTCAATGTTGTATGTTCCTCTATTAAGCGTCATGATAAGTTTCAAAATGCAATTTTTGAGGAGATTTAACATTTTCTAGATATTGGTGAACATGATAGTGGTAAATGAAAAAAAAAATCAAATTTATACTTTGAAACAAGACAGAGATACACATTGGAGCTAACATTTTTCTCCTGTTTGTAGTATGATAGATTTGCATAATCCAATTTGTATAGTTCTTGCAGATATTAGGAAAAAATGGGAGAAGTTATGCTACAAGTGGGGATGCTAATGTTGTTTATAATTTTATAAAATCATTTAAGTTCAGATTAATTTTGCACATGATAAGAAAAATTATGGGAATTACAGATCGTTTGTGTCAAGCTTTACAACAAAAATCTAAAGATATACTTAATGATATACAGTTAGTCATGACTACAAAGACATTAATTCAAAAGTTGAGAGAAGATGGATCAGATGATTTATTGAAAGATGTAATATTATTTTTGTGAAAAACATGATATTGATTCTCCTGATTGTAATGATATTTATATAGAGTGTGAAGGTCATGCACGTCATTAAATGAATCACACTATTGTGGGTCAACATTTAACAATGGATCTCTTTTGTGTTACAAACGATCAACAACTACAAGAATTGAATCATAGGTTTTGTGAGCAAATAATACAGCTTTTAAGTCTAAGCAATAGTTTGATTCTTAAGGATATTTATAAAGCATTTGATATGGATAATATATGTGCTCTTTTAGATAAATTATATCCTATATATTTTAGTGAGCATGAGAAAATTAGGTTCAAATATAAACTTCAACACTTTCATCTTGACGTTGTTGGTCATCCATATTTAAATAATTTGTCAACTATGTCTGAATTGTGTGAAGCTCTAAAAAAGATAGGAAAGGTAGATACATATTAATTGATTGATCGACCTATCTGTCTTATCTTAAGTCTTCCAATTTATATAGCTTTTACATTCAGATTTTCTCAACAATGAAGATAATCAAATACAAGATTGTGCAATAAGATGGAGGATGAATTTTTTTGCTGAAAATATGATTCTTTACATTGAAAAAGAAATAGTTGAACACTTTACCACTGATTCAATTATTGACGAGTTCAAGTCTTTAAAAAAAAAGGTGAAGTTGATACTTTAATTCGAGGTTGAATATCTCTTTTTCTATATTTTATTTTTATTTTGCATAAGTTATTTTGAATTTTTGAAAAAATTGTATCTAAATTTTATAATTTTTAGTCAAATTCAATTATAATATTTTAGTTAATATTTTTCGCCCCCGAATATTTTAGTCAAGATGTGCAACTCATTTAAAACTACATTTCTATTCAAATTAAATTTTTTTGACCATTTAAAAAAAATTGGATATATATTTTTTCATTTAAAGATGTTAAGTTGTGAACATAAATGTTTTTAATTTAGATGTTTGAGTTAAATAAAATATAAAATTGAAGACGTTATGCTACACGTGGGGATGCTAATTCTGTTTCTAAGTTTGTAAAATCATATGTGTTCACGTTAATCTTGCACATGATGAGGGAACTTATGGAAATTACAGATCATTTGTGTCAAGCTTTACAACAAAAATCTCAAGATATACTTAATGATATGCAGTTAGTCACGACGACAAAGACATTAATTCAAAAGTTGAGAGAAGATGGATGAGATGCTTTATTGAAAGATGTAATATTATTTTTGTGGAAAGCATGATGTTGATTATCCTGATTGTAATGCAGTTTATATAGAGCGTTAAGGTCGTGCGCGTCATTAAATGTATCACATCACCGTGTGTCAATATTTAAAATGGATCTCTTTTGTGTTACAATCGATCAACAACTACAAGATTGAATCACAGGTCTTGTGAGCAAACAATGGAGCTTTTAAGTCAAGCAATAGTTTGGTTCTTAAGGATATTTACAAAGAATTTGATATGAATAATGTATGTGCTCTTTTAGATAAATTATATCCTACATATTTTAGTGAGCAAGAGAAAATTAGTTTCATATATGAACTTCAACACTTTCATCTTGTTGTTGTTGGTCATCCAGATTTAAATAACTTGATAATTAGGTTTGAATTGTGTGAAGCTATAAAAAAGATAGGGAAGACATATACATATTAATTGATTGATCGACCTATACATCTTATCTTAAGTTTTCCAGTTTTTATAGCTTCTACATAAAGATCATTCTCAACATTGAAGATAATCAATACAAGATTATGCAATAAGCTGGAGGATTAATTTTTTTGCTGACAATATGATGCTTTACATTGAAAATAAATAGATTAACACTTCACTACTTATTCAATTATTGACGAGTTCATGTCTTTAAAAAACGAAAGTTGGTACTTTAATTCGAGGTTAGATATCTCCTTTTATATATTCTATTTTTATTTTGTTTGAAGTTATTTTGAATATTTGAAAAAGTTGCATCTATATTTTATAATTTTTAGTCAATTTAAATTATAATATTTGTCACCCCCTAAAATTTTAGTCAAGATTTGCAATTGA